CAGTGCACCTTTTCAGAGGCGGGGAAACAACCTGGACAGCCATTCCCCAAAAGACACGAACAATTTCAAACGTTAAAAGAACTCACTCCGAATTAGCGATAGAGCAAATTGTAGAAACGAGTGTGTATGGATAAGTTATGAAAGAAGTAAAAAGTTTAAGAACAACACTTCCGAGTTTGCGCATGATGTTAAGTTCGTCATATCTGGAGTAATTCTTCAACTGAAATATGAAACTATTAGAGGAAGAGTAGTATTTAATAGCTAGTTGTCATTTTGTTATTATAGTTACGTAAAGTCCCCTTTTTGTGGTCTAGTCTTGTTTCGCTGCCAAGAAACTACGTTTCTTAATGACAAAATCAAATCCAACTCCAAACGAAGTTATTCTGAAGAAATGAAAACCTTGAAAAAATCCCCTGAACGAGTGTTATGATAGAGCAAAAGTCTTAAACATATAAGCAACCAAAATGTGCATGATCAAATACGAGGTAAAGAAAGAGATGAATCATTTCAACTTGCGATTCTGATAAAATGTACATAACTTACCAGGTGGTAAAAGCAGACATCAATCCCAAGCATCAATGAATTGGTAATAAAAATTTCCAACAAAGATGCCAATAGGAAGGGGTGAAATCCACTGAAAACTATAGATCTTGTTTAAAAGAAGTAAACATTCAAACTGCGGCAACTATTTGGATTTAATGACTCCGACCATGTCATAAGAATTATACCAAAATACCCAAAAAGCAACTCACAGTAATCTTCGTTTTATTACTTTACAAACTAAACAAGAAAGAAAAAACAACTCCAGTTACTCGAAAAATCCTTTAACTCCTTCTCGGTCGTAAATCAAAGAAGCACAGTCAAAAATTCCACCGTACCCAACATCACCAATCACCACTTGGACGATTTTTCTGTTTAGTATTACTAAATGCACCGTTTAATTACAAAATCATTAAAAAAATCGAATGAAAATAAAAAAGAAAAATAGCAAAAAACAAGCTGTGAAGATTTAGAACAAAAATAATGAACAAAGGGAACTGTTTAGAGACTAGTAGATTATAGCGATCTACTTACATTGGAAAGGATAAACACAAAAATCCAATGGCACAATGATTAATAGACTCCTCAAAGTAACTCGGAAGCACACTCGGCACCGCTGCCAGATCGTACGAGGACTGTTTCGTACTATTTCAGCAGCACCGCCCAAATTAGGAACATAATCTTCCAAAAACTAGATAAATTACTCATGCTAAGTTTCAAATGCACAGGTTTAAGCACTTAACATAATCGAACAATGATAAAAAAATGAAGTTAACTTTGAAACAACTCAAAAAAGACTCAAAAGCTTGCTGCACTTCTTTTTTTAAATTCCGGCCCCAACACCAAGAGTTTCTAAGAAAATTATAAGAAGAATATTTGTCCAATAATAAGCCAAAAAAAAAAAAAAAAAAAAAAAAAAAAAAAA